AGCCCCCCCCCACCGACCCCCTCTTACTTTAAGCTCTGCTGCAGAGGTCTCCATCAGGCCTCTGCAGCCATGGCGTGTAAAAAGGGAAACTGGCTGCCCTTTGCAGAGATAGTGGCTGCGGCTTCATTTAGGGTAAGGAAGCTGCAGCTGCCATCTTTGCAAAGGGCATCCAGTTTCCCTTTTTACACACCATGGCTGCGGAGGCCTGATGGAGACCTCGGCATCAGCGATTAAGGTAAGAGAGTGTCGGTGCGAGTATGATGGGGGCTAAGGTAGAGAAAGGAAGGGGGTGGTGTAGGCTGTGGGGGGAGTGGCTGCCTATCCACTGCTGGTCAGCGGATCGGCAGCCAGCAGGCAGAATGTTGTTTGTTTGTTTCTTTTTTTAATATGGAAGATGAATAAAAACAGGTAAATATTAATCCCTTCGTATTCGTGGGGGTCTCTGGAACCCATGGATATGAAGGGATGAACATTTAACGAATCGGCTATATTCGTCGAAAAAGCTGATCCGTTTTTAGATTCATCCGCATCTCTAGTGGAAACTGTTGTAGCCAGCCAGGTTTGTTAGCTTTGCACAGCAATTCACTGACTTGTTGCTGTTGACTTGGAAGTATTATAGACCTCAAAACTATAGGGAATAATACAGCAATAGTAATTCTTGGGCTGTTTTGTGTCACATTTGGTATAGCAACATAACACTTATTCTGTACTCTAATTGTCTTAACAGGGCCTGATCTCTAATGGAGAAAACGCTGACTCATGGAATTGCCCTTCTTCACAACCTAACGACTTTCTGTTTTGTGAAATTTCTCTGCAATTATGTAAATCAACATGTCAATAAATAGAACTTTGTGAAAATACTCCTATGGAATATTACTTTTATTGAGTGACTGTAATACCACACATTTGGAAATTGTATAATACAACCAGAATTGTGTATGTACAGTACATATAAATATATAGAATATCCTTTTCATGTTCTTTTTTTTTCTTTTCTTCTTTTTTATATTGACAATCAACAAAAGCCTAACAATGAAATCACAGGTTTAAACAGAATTATTATTTTTTAGTTAATGGCCATTTAAAAATATAATTTGAGAATCTATTTAAAGCTGTGTCAAAACATAGAATCATAGAGTAATTGAGTTGGAAGCATCTTAGAATGTCATTGAATCCGACCCCCTGCTCAATGCTGCAATCCAAATTAAAGCACATCTGACACAATCTTCAATGCCTCAGCAGCCAACCTAGAAAAAGAACCTGAATTATAACCTCTTCTTCCCTTACTCCACAAACTTGTTTATCATAGAGTAGTTCTACTATGTTCAAGGTAGGATTTGCACTTTACTCACTTAGTCACCTTTCCATTTTTAAAAGTCCTTAGTTATGGAAAAGGTGAGTGCTAAAGCTCTTTTGCATGGGAAGAGCTGTTTTAGGCAGCCTTTCTCCATGTGAAGGTGCTTGTGCTTCTGGGAATCTAAAGACTGCCATGTAGCAGGAGCCTTCCAAATGATGCTTGTATCCCATTGAACAAGTTTGGGGGCAATCTGGTCCAATGTAAAGACTTTCTAAGTGCCATTCATGTCTACAGGAACATGCTCTGAAATCTCTCCTTTGGAATCTAACAAATACTTAACACTGTATTGTGTGCCTTGCAAAAGAATGCATTCTCCTGTTCTAACTTTTTACTGTGTAATTGTTCTACAGAGAAACACAGTAAGAATTTGGAGAGTCTGTTGACATTCTGCTAATCATGTGAGAGGAAAGGAAAGATAAGAGTACAAATGGCTAGCTTAGTTGAACATGTTCACTAAATGAACAGTTTTTCCTCCTAGTTCTATGACTCCTCTATACATTTCTTCCCACTTCTTGTCTTGTTGTAAGAATTTGTGTTAACAATTCCTTGGAAGGACATGCACAATGTGATTTTTTTCCCAAAATTCTATGCTACTAGATTGGTTTTGTTGATTTTAAGACAAAAGTCCTACACACACCAGGGAGCGAGATCATTGAAATGCAGTTGAATATACTTCTAAGTTGACCTGTGTAGGATTACACTGTAAATGTCATGTTGAGATGGCTGATTGCTCAATGTACTGTAATTAAGCTGTGATCAAACATAAATATGACCAATGGTATTTGGAATGAGGACACAAATAAGAACTCATGTTTTGTGTATCTCTTTAACTGAACGAATATATGATATTTTCTTTATGTAAAAAGATGTTTCATCCAACTGTTCCATGGCAGCCCCATTTTCAAATGGTTGGTTGGTTATAAAGAGCACTAACTGTGTTTCTCTAGACATTATTTCTAAGAGATTAACCTTACAGGCTTCTTTTGAAGAGGAAAGCCCCTGCTATTAGACTAGTATGATCTAAAATTCTTTTAGAAAATGTGGAATAAAAGTTCTCTCCCAAATCACAAACTTCTCTAGCTGCCTGAATGAAAACCTGCTTACAAGCCAGTTTGAGTCCAATAATTCTGTATAAGGAGGAATTTGTTGCTTGAAATACTGTTGCTTAGCATAATAAGTTGCAACTTAGACTTTGTTGTTGTTATGATGTCCCATCAAGTCCCCTCTGACCTATGGCACCCTTATGAATGAGCACTCTCCAAATTCCTCTCTTCAACTGCCCTGCTCAGCTCTTGTAGACTGTGGCTTCCTTCAGGGAGTCAGTCCATCTTGTATTTGGTCTTTCTCCCTTCCTGTTGCCTTCAACTTTTCCTAGCACTACTGGCTTTTCCAGAGAACCTTGCCTTCTCATGATGTGGCCAAAGTAGGACAGCCTCAATTTCATGATTTTTGCCTCCAGAGAATGTTCAAGCTTGATTTGCTCTAGGACCCACTTGTTTGTCTTTCTGGCAACCCAGTGTATCCGCTAAGCTCTCCAGCACTATAATTCAAATGAATTAATTTTTTTCCTGTCAGCTTTCTTTTGAATCAGTGGACTGAAAATAAGGTTATGCTAAAAGCCAATACATTTGAAATTCTTGTAACAAGACTCTGGACCTACTCTAATTGTAGCTTTTTGCCTCCAGAGAATGTTCAAGCTTGAATTGTAGCTTATTATATTAAACAACAGGATTTTAGCTATTATTCCTTTTCAAGCAATAACGGCTTTATAAATACATTAGATGATAGAAAACATTTCTCTAATTCATATGAAAGTTAAGAACTGATAAACATTCAATATATTTCATTTCCTATTAAGTACTGTGTGGTATATGCAGTGAAAGATAGCTGAAACATACTTGCTCAAAATTATAAATAAATAATAACAAATACTTGGTCAAATTATACTGAAAGTAAAATGTAATGGAGCCAAATACTTAGTCAACATTATACTTCAAGTGAAATACAGTGGTACCTCGACTTACGAAATTAATCTGTATTGGAACGGCATTCGTACATCGAAAAGTTCGTAAGTCGAGGCAAAATTTCCCATAGGAATGCATTGAAAACCATTTAATCCGTACCAACTGTTTTTCGTTCTTATGTCGAGGCGCTGTTCACAAGTCGAGTTCTCATAGGAACTAATGCAAAGCTGGTTAATCCATACTCTACCACTAGGGGGAGAAATTTTTTATTTTATTTTTCTTCTTTTGACCTAAGATGACCTTTGGTTAAAAAAAGGGCAGGAAAGGTTCGTTCGCAAGTCGAAGCAACGTTTTGCGAACAGAGCCGTTCGTAACTCAAAATGTTCATAAGTGGAGACATTCGTAAGTTGAGGTACCACTGTAAACTGGTTAGTGGGATAAATGCTTGTTCTTTGTCACACAGGAAGATAATGTTAATGCTTCTTTTGTGCTAGTTTTATAAGAAAAGAAAAAGTAATAATTCATAAGCATTCAACAGTTTGCACCAAATATGTCAAAACAATGCACTCATGAGCACTAAAACTTTGAGTTAGAAAGCAAAGAAAGCTGACTTAAATTCCCTACATCACATGGATCAAAATAAGGTTATGCTAAAAGCTAATACACTTGGAATTCTCTTCTGGAGAGGCGAAACTTCATTCATAGTTGTTTCTGCTTTATTATATGCCTCCAAAGCAAGAATGCACAACTTAAAGCCTTTCTGTTATGCTTAGAGTGCAACTTCCATCACCTAATATAAGTCCAGATAAGAGTTTGCTGAGAACCAATGACCAGCATTACCTGGCAGGCAGATCCAAGTGGTGTTCTAAAGTAAGGCAAGTTTGCTACAAGCACCAAGAGTAACAGTATTATGTCTTTGGCACATCAATGGACACATTAAGGATCAGGGTTTGCCTCCTTTCGATAAATAATTGTACCCCTAATGGTGTCAGTACTATCGTTCAAGTTAAGGTCATGGTGACAGATGATCTACACTTGCTTTCTGCATAGGCTACCTGCTACAGCCTTTCCAACCTCCACTCCCATCAAAACCTCATTGTTTACCGTGCTAGCTACTTTGATGGGTATTGTAATCAAAGAGAGCAAGAGGGCATTGCACTGGGGAAGGCTGTGCTACAACCACCCCTTTCTTGCCTTGTGGACTCCCAATTTGAAACTCTCCATACACAGGTGTGTGCATGGAGACACACATATCCCAAAAGGCCGCATGACTCTGCTTTTGTCTACAGAGAAGTACGGTAAATCCCACTGTGTAGAGTTGGGCTTGCTGCCATGTAGATGTGAATAGTATTATAATCTCTGGATACCATTTCATGCATCTAATAGGCTCTAGTCACCAAGGAACATATTTAATATTTGAAGCTAATGGGATCCTTAGTTGGTTTTAATGAACACCAAGGTTGCATTGAAGAATAAGAAATGGCTGCTTAGAAAAGATAATAATATATATTCTATAAATATTTAACTAACAAGAAAATGCATGCAGACCAATTGCAGTGCTCAAACTATACTACTCATTCACCTGAAGCTCTTACAATGTTTAGCTTTATTCTTAAGTCTTAGGACTGCAGCCCTATAAATTGAGTACATTTTACCTGCTAAAAGGCTGCAAATGACTGCATCTAGTGTAAATGGCAATCCTGACCCTGTTGAAGTAGTGATGAATTCACCATTGACCTTGACTTCAATACAGTAAGGCTGCTGTCTTCCTCCAGTGTTAATATTATGGGTCTTAAAAATAACTTGTCAGGATCAGGATAGACAAAATGAAGTGTTTCTTCACAATACATAATACTTAACATTCTCTGGCTCACTAGCAATGATTACTAGCTTAACAGCATCGGATAAATAACGAGAGCTGGCATTATGAATGGCCTTTAGCTGCTGTAGCTAAGTGGAGCCTTTGTGCCTGTAGGGAAAACTGTCTCTGAGTACGGGATAATTGTTTATTTCATAGCCTACTGGCGACTTTCTATAGGTATCATATTCATTAAAAGTGAAGAAATAATGCTAAACAAGGACCCTTCATTTCCTACAGCAGTGCAGTTCTCTTTGCATTTCTAGAGAGATGACTCCATTATTTTTTTTAATGAATGGATTGTAAGTTCAGCTAAAGCACAGACCAGCTTAATTATTTGTCCTGCTCTTGGCATTTTGTTCTTCTTTCATTTGTTTCTTAGAATCAATTTGCATTAAGGTTCTGTTAGGATGCACTTCAGTTCATTTCAAAATGGCAAGTATGTACAAATGATGTTATGCGAAAATTAATTGGGATAATTGGGGTCTTCCCAAGTGGAGATAGCTTGGCAATCAGAAGGAACTATAGAAATGACCCTATAGTATTGAGTACCTCCTTTAGCCATTACTAACTCCAAGCTCCTTTGAACTGGCTGAATGTTACTCTTAATGAAAATATACAACTGCATCCAGATTCACTGATGTTGCAAGTGCTGGACTGGTAGAGTTACCTTACTTTGCTTCACTGCTGTCAGGCATCCTGCTGTCTGTCATAATCTGCCCCGTCAACTGAAGCACTTTGATGTACTCTTTCGATTTAGGAAGCTGTAATGTTTATAACTTTTATTGTTAAAATGCTTTATTAGCAATTAAAGGTACTACTTCAGAAGAACTGCTAACTGCTTTGATCAGCTGGGGATACCAACTTTAAACAGCTACAAGTAGGATTATGTTTTCTGGTATGTAAGAGTCGACAGTGTAGTTGTGTGTAGTTTGGCTTAATGCAAAAAACAAAAACAAAACACAAACCTGAACGCAGTGTATCATTAAAAGTTCAGTCAGAAATGCAGGTGAGCCCAGCCACCTTATCGGCAGTAATTAGTTTGCTGGGGAGGGGATAAGTTCAATCACTATTCTTTAATTTTAAAGGGTTTCCTTTTCTTCTTTACTGCTGTCCCCTTCTACTTCCACTTCTACTTCTTCATATTCCTCTACCTCTGCTGTAGCGTCTTGATACTGCTGGTACTCAGACACCAAGTCATTAGTGTTGCCTTCTGCTTCAGAAAACTCCATGTCATCCATTCCTTCACCAGTGTACCAATGCAGAAATGCTTTTCTCCTGAACATTGCCGAGAACTGTGCCGAGATCCGGCGGAAGATCTCCTGTATGGCTGTATTGTTCCCTATGAAGGTAGCCGCCATCTTTAGCCCACGAGGTGGAATGTCACACACAGCCACCTTGACGTTGTTGGGGATCCACTCCACAAAGTGACTGCTGTTCCTGGTCTGCACAGCCAAGAGCTGTTCATCTACCTCCTTGGTCGACATGTGGCCTCTGAAGATGCACGCCACAGTCAAGTACCGCCCATGACGTGGGTCGCAGGCTGTCATCATGTTCCTTGCATCAAACATCTGTTGAGTGAGCTCTGGAACCGAGAGAGCTCTATATTCCTGGCTGCCTCGTGCTGTTAATGGAGCAAAGCCTGGCATAAAGAAATGGAGTCTGGGGAAGGGCACCATGTTGACTGCCAACTTTCTCAGGTCTGCATTGAGCTGCCCAGGAAAGCGGAGCGAGGTGGTGACGCCACTCATGGTGAGAGACACCAAATGATTCAGGTCTCCGTAGGTTGGAGAGCGGAGCTTCAGGGTTCTAAAACAAATGTCATACAAAGCTTCATTGTCAATGCAGAAGGTTTCATCTGTGTTCTCTATCAGCTGGTGAATGGATAAGACGGCATTGTAGGGTTCAACGACAGTGTCTGAAACTTTGGGTGACGGCAGCACACTGAAAGTGTTCATGATCCTGTCCGGGTATTCTTCCTTGATTTTGTTGATCAGAAGAGTGCCCATGCCAGAGCCTGTTCCGCCACCCAGGGAGTGGGCGAGCTGAAAGCCCTGGAGGCAGTCACAACCCTCACACTCATTCCTCAGGACATCCATTACATTTTCAATCAGCTCTGCTCCTTCCGTGTAATGACCTTTGGCCCAGTTGTTCCCGGCACCCGAATTTCCTGAAAACATAATTATAAGAAAAACAAGGTAAAAGTCAGTGAGAAGAAAATGCACTTAAAAAAATTAATTCCACAATTATTATTTTAAAAATATGCCCATGGTGCAAAAGAAAAGAAAATATAAATCAACATATTCACGAAGGCTTTCACGGCCGGAATCTAATGGCTGTTGTGGTTTTTTGGGGCTCTTTAGCCGTGTTCTGAAGGTCGTTCTTCCTAACGTTTCGCCAGCCTCTGTTGCCGGGAATCTAATGGCTGTTGTGGTTTTTTGGGGCTCTTTAGCCGTGTTCTGAAGGTCGTTCTTCCTAACGTTTCGCCAGTCTCTGTGGCCGGCATCTTCAGAGGACAGCACCTCTAAAGATGCCAGCCACAGAGACTGGCAAAACGTTAGGAAGAACAACCTTCAGAACACGGCCAAAGAGCCCGAAAAACCCACAACAACCAATAAATCAACAGTTTCATTTAAAAGTCTACAATAAGGCAGCTGCTAAAGGCAAACATGGGCATGTTTTTAAGTGCATTTGAAACAGCTTGGGTCCACATCTTGCAGAAAAGCATGTATTGAATAATCACTTTATCACAACCATGAGCAAACTGTGACCTTCCAAATACTGAACTGCAGCTCAAAACATCTCTCACCGTTGACTGTGTTTGTTTGGACTGATGGCACTCACAATGCAACATCTCAAGGACCAGACATTGCCACCTCTGCTTGTACAGACTGGTTCAGTTACACTTTAAGACACAACCTTATTTGGAGGTGAATTCAGGTGGATCTACTTCTGAGTAAACATGCAGACAATGGCACGGATAGCTTATATTTTATTTTTGAATATATTTAATTATATTTTAGAATGATTTGCTGATTTCCTGTCCAAGAATTCGTTGGGAAACTTGGTTCTAGCCAGGCTTTTGTTAGTCTTAACTGCCTTTTTCCGATCAAGGACTGTGATGTATGCTAAAAATCTGCAAAGTGAAACCTCACATTTTGTTACCACAACAAGATTTAGAATTATTTGGAGGATGGAGGTTGAGGTCACACTGCATATTTGGCAGGAGACAAAAATATAGCAACCTTTTATTAAATGTAAGAGTGTTGTGACATGTGGAGAAATTCATAAAAGTTCTTCAGGAACTCTTCTACCTTCAAATATCTTAGCCAAATCTTCCCAGATATTTTCAGTTTTTATCTGCAACTACAAAGGATAGAGATACTTACTGTGTGTGTTCAGTAAGAATGAATAGATTCACAGTGCTCGTAAGCAATGGTTGAAGAGGTCAAGGGCGTTGTTGACACTGCACAGTTACAGCAGGTTGATTCCACTTTAACTGCCTTTGTGCCATCCTATGAAATCCTTGGATTTGTAGTTTGGTGAAACGCTGAGATATTTTTGCTAGAGTTTTGATGGCCACTCCTAAACTACAGGTCAGATTTCCAAGTGCCTAACCAAACTACCAACATTAATTTGACCAAACTCCGAGAGGCAGTGAAAGACAGGAGGGCCTGGCGTGCTCTGGTCCATGGGGTCACGAAGAGTCAGACGCGACTTAATGACTAAACAACAACAACAACCAAACTACATGTTGCAAGATTCCGTAGGGTGAAGCCAGAGCAGTAAAAAGCATTGAATGTGAAATATAGATTCCTTTCCATTTGAAATGTATAATAGCCATGTTGCTTACGGAAATAGCCATTTATTAGATTCTATTGATATTATTACTACATCACACATACCATGAATAAAGTTATCAGGGCGAAAGAGTGGACCTATTTTGCTTGATCGCACACTGTCCATCGTTCCTGGTTCCAGGTCTACTAGGATAGCACGGGGAACATATTTATTGGCTGCAGCAAAGGAAAAACAGGTCAGAGTAAAGGTTGTTACAAGTAATATTGGATACAGCCCTGCTTTTGATGGATGTTCTCAGTGTAGAAGAGATACCTAACATGTATACACAAGTGGTACATTCTAAGTGGCCAAAGAGGTCTGCTTCTCATAGGATATTATTTTCTTCACTTCCCTACCTTGCATCTAGCGTGTTTTGTTTTGTGACCAGCCACTGGAAGATGAATATAGGCTGAATTTGAAAGTGATTACTGAAGTTTTCATCTTCACAATGGTGTTTAAAAACAAACAAACAAACCATTGTGGATACTTCTACGGTTAAAGCGATACACCTGCCTCCAGCATTAGAGTTGACCTTTGTGAATTCTCCCTCCCTCTCACACACAGATCTCAAAAATGCACATACTTTTAGATTTGAACAGCACTGTTCCTCTGCTTTCAATTTTAAAGAAGAACCACAACATGGTGAATGCTTACAATGAAAACATATTTGCTAGTGAGTGTTCCCTCTGTTCCTGCCTATTAAATGATGAGGTGAAAAAAAATACACAGGCCCCTTCTTCTTTCCAAGAGCTGGCAAGGAGAATCCCTTCAGTTAGATGATGGGTCAGTGGGCTTAAAGTGTGGGTGCCAGAAGACTAAATGAGACTAAATAATAGATAGGACAGGAGAACCGTGAATAGAATTGTCTTTGCATCAACAGACAATAAGGTGTTACTTGTTTCCTTCCTGACTTATAGTTTTTATCTATGAAATCAGGGTGGTTTGCCTTGTTTTTACTCTTTAATGCTATCTCACTGAAGGATTGTTGGTTTAACAATTACACTCACAAGTGGCTCCTTCTGATGTTATTGGACTCCCATCAGTCCTTGTTTGGAAAGCCCCATAACAACAGACATGGGAAGTTTCATCTCAGCCACGTCTAGAAGGCCACCAAGTGACTGCTTCCAAACCAACCAGTCCCCAACCAAAGAGTAGAAGAAGAAATCTTGAGATCCTAGATGACAGGGATGGTATCTTTGACAAGGTCAATAGTAGTGCTGGTCATGTTAACTTGTGAGGGGGAGTCTGCTCTTAGCAGAAGTTTAATCTCACTGTTTTCTACATAACTCACATGTCTTATATATGTTTGTTGAGAAATAAAAATTGCTTTCATTAGGGCTTATTCCCAAACAAGCATACATTGAATTGTAAGATTTTAAATGGATTGTAAACTAAGTGGTAATTCTGTTATGTTTTTATGCTGAAAAGGTTGAAACTGTTATTGTTTTCAATTTGTCTAGGGACTGTAATAAAAATAGTTATGTATGTATGAACTGCAGCTACAGTTGAATAAAGCAGCTGCACTGCAGTCCTATGAAAGATGCCGACACAAAACTCAGCTCAAATTGGTTTCCATTGGACCTTCTCTGAGAAAAGTTGAGTGTAGGCTTGCTGTCCTCATCTCTTTCCCCATTTGTGACTCTGAGGCTGACACTGCAATCCATTCAAGCAATTCTTATAAACAGGTACATGTGTACATGTACACACTTCACAGTAACAGAAGATGAGAACATGTGTGCTATTTTTATTCTGCTGTCGCACCTGAAAGTAAATTTTCCTTATTAGCCCTTTCATACTTACAATAAGCTTCATTGAAGTACACATTTAGTCTCTCCTGCTGTAGCACCGAATCACCACAGTAGTTTCCTGTGATGTCGACTCCATGTTCGCTGCTTATGATTTCCCAGAACTACAAAAAGGAGGCAAGAAAAAAAGAATTTGTGAACAAGTACTTGGTTCTGGTCTGCCCTTCTCCTGTAGAATTCAAGGCATAACATGGGGTTCTGAGGCTGTCTCCTATTTATGAGTACATTTGTGAATGAGCTGCCCTTTCATTGTAGGTCATCAGTGTTACATGCAACTTAAATCAGATACTACAGTGGGGCCTTGCAAGACGAATGTAATTCGTTCTGCGAATAGCGCTGTCTTGTGAAAAATTTGTAGTGCGAAAAGCATTTTCCGATAGGAATGCATTGCAATGCATTCCTATGGGAACCTTGCAAGACGAATTATTTTTTTTTTCATCTTGTGAGGCATCGGGTTTGGGAAAAAATCGTCTTGTGAAACACAGCCATAGAAGAAACCGTCTTGCAAGGCGCCATAGCGATCGCAAAACCCATTCGTCTTGCGGGTTTTTCATCCCGCAAGGCGTTCGTTTTGCGAGGCACCACTGTACTTATAGGTGAAACAAAATTAAAAGTAAAGAATAAAAATAATAACAGAACAAATAAAAAGGACAAAAACATGGTGGCACCTTAAATATTGACTGTTATACTTTTGTAACATGAGCTTTCATAGACAAGACCACTTTAAAGAGACATAACATGGCACATATTTATACATGGCATCAATCTATAGATATCAAAATACAAAACTTAAAGTAACAGCAACAGAAAAATACTATTTAGTGCTCCTCAACTAATGTAAAAAAACCTGTGATATTAAAACTGCAGAGTTGCATTAAAGAGTCTGTGTGGCAAAAGCATCTTTTCTGTCCGTCCTAAGCACAAATGTAATCCTATACAATCCTGTTTAAGAGAAACACAGGCTGGGAAAAGGGAAAAGGCTGTAGATGGATGAAAAAAGACTTTATCACCCCCTTCCGACTAGAGATTGGTAAATCACATCTTAAAAAGATTAATGGATATGGAGAGACAGGAAGATCTCAGTAGATGCCCTAATTTCAGAGCAATAGACACGCATAAATATTGTCCGCTCCCTATGGCCTACCTATCACAGCTGGAAACGTATGAATTTAGGAAAGCCTTTACTCTGGCTAGATGCGAGGCTTTCCCCTCTGC